AAGAAATACTCATTGAGTAAGATATTCTAGGAACTATGCCAGGTTCTGAGGATACCGCAGCAGCCCAGTTTCAGTGGCTGCTTGCAAGGAGTTTGTATAATCTCATGAGTAGTACATTTTAAAACAGCCCAATAAGCTTGGCATTGCTACCTCCATTCTAGTAATAAGAAACTGAAGGCACAGGCTGGGCACAGTTGTTCACGTCTGTAATTCTAGCACTTTGGGAGACCAAGACAGGTGGATCACCTGAGGTCAGGAATTCCAGACCAGCCTGGCCAACATAGTGACTCCATCTCTACAAAAATACAAAATTACGTGGGCACAGTGGCACATGCCTATAATTCCAGCTACTTGGGAGACTGAGGCAGGAGAACTGCTTGAACCCAGGAGGCGGAGGTTGCAGTGAGCCCAAGATGGTGCCATTGCACCCCAGCCTGGGCAACAAAAGCAAACCTTCATCTCAAAAAAAAAAAAAGAAGAAAGAAAAGAAAGAATGAAAATGAAGGCACAGAGGAGTAAAGTAATTTCTCCCAACTCTTTTGAGTTATAAATGGCACAGCCAGGACCCACACCCATCCACCTCACAAAAAGCCAATGCTATTTCCATCACTGTCCCATTTCCTTAGGGACAGTTGAAAAATGCAGATCTAAAATTCTTTCACATGCCTAACTCTCTTATTTTCCTCTGCACTCCATGAGAAGCAGCAAATACCCTTTCCTTGGATGGGACAGCTGCCTTTCTAAAGCTGCTTTGAACCATGATATTTCTTAACTCTCTTCTCCAGGAATACAGATATGTATCTTGTTATATGCACCTGCTAATATTTTGTTTATTTTGATGCAAATCCATCACCCATAATGAATCACCCTGCTTTGAAAATGCAATCGATTTTAGAAGCATGGAAGCAAAAACTAAGTCAGCTCTGATAGTCTCTGGGAGTATCTGTGATGGGAGAGACCTAAGGCACTAAAAGCTATTTTCTTCACTGTCAATCCACGGGATGACTTTCCTTGCACAAACGCATACCCACACAGTCTGACTAACGCTTGCCTTTTTGGACATATGTGAGCAAATAAATGTAATTACGAGCAAGATGTAATCACAATTGCTTTGCTATTAAAGCTGCTGTACACTGTTACAGCTTGGTTAACAATATATGCAGAAGGGTGGAATTGCTTGCTACTCTCCCAGGAAGAAAAACACACAAAAGTGTGGCCTCTTTTATATTACATCTGCGAAAATACAACATTTAAATGCAGAATTTGACTTTCCAGGAATTGCATCAGAAAACCTTTTAAGAGAAACAGCAGGGAGAGAAAGCTTTTTAAATCATGATACTCCATGAAGGATTATGAAAATGGAGGTCATCACACAAGACGAAATTGCAAGTACAATGAGGAAAATCTTCTCCTCTGTGTAAATACATGAAGACAATTTATTCTTCTCTGTTAAGCTATCAGGGGATATTTTCAGCTTCTAGAGAAAGAAAAAGAAAGAAGCCACCTTGTCCAAATGGATCTTTTCATAGTGATGTGCTTGGCTGGTACCTGGTAGTAATGGTCAGTTTCTTTTCTATTGAACCAGAGTGCCTGAGAAGAGCTACCCTGAGACTTCCTTTCTCATAGCTTGTCAGGCAACTGGGGATACAAAGGCTCACTGGACACTTTCACCTGCATCCGGTCCTTAAGAGCAAGGAAGGGCAAATCTACTCATGTCAGACTGTCCAGATGCCATCACAGCAGGCCAGTGATGCGGTCAATACATTCAGGTTTTAATTAAGTTCATACTCAACCAACTTGGCAGAAATATCTTACCTACCAAATGGGCTACATGAGCAGCACTGGGTGCTGGACTCTGGTGAGACGGTCCAGAGAAAAGAGGTTACTGAACAATGTATGATTGATAAGTCATAGTGAAAGTTCTGTAAAAGTAGAATCTTCATGCTACCATCTATGTGTGAAATGGTATACCCAAACATGAATATGCCTTGGTTAGGAGTCATGATAGACAGACAGACAGACAGACAGATAGATAGATAAACATAGATGATAAACAATAAATACATTGGTTTTTTTTCACTTGACATTTCGTGATCACTTACAAGGAGCTGGGCAACTATCTCAACACAAAATATAAAGAATAATAAGACACAGAGGAATTCTACCCTCAAGCGTGCTAGTGTTTGTTTGGGAAAAACAGGTAACTAAATAATACACCAATAAAAAGCAGCAAGTGCCATGTGATAGTAGGCAAAAGAAAGGCTGTTTTTAATTTGTCCACATAAGGTCCCAAAATCTTGACTTTTATTATGAATTGGACTTATTAAGTTCAAACATTTTTGTTAAACTCTCAAAACTGTATTAATGTTGATTTTTTAAAAATTTTGGACTTGTGATGAGAGCTAGGCATTTTATTTGAATGACCAATGCACACAATAAAATAAACTATACAACATTTTCTACATAATGATCTTAAGCAATGCTGTACTTACTCAATTCTAAAGTTCAGGTTTTCACATTTTTAGCATAGTTGAAAGTAAGTTGTTACCTCTATCCATGGAATCTCAAAATTATAATTAGCATAACTTTCTTCTTTGTTAGATATAAATAAAATTATGTTCTTACTTTTAGAGGCTATGGACTACGATCTATATAAATATATGAATATATATTATCATATAGGGAACTGATTATGTAGTGTTGTGTTCATAAATGCTGTTATATAAAGTGGTATGCTAATAAATGTTTGACAATGAGATTTCTGGGAAGAAAAGCCCATGATTTGTAAAATTTGCCATTTTTGTGATGTAAATTCTCCCACCATGGTTGAGTTCAAGCTATGAAGGTGACATCATTGAATGTGAGTTACGAAAAGTTGTCCACAGTTGGCTCTGGAGAGCCTGCCCAAGCCAGCCCTAGCATGCTACTGCACACACCTGAATCCAGGGCTATTTTCAAGTTCCTTTACAACTAGTGTGGTTCTGGTGGCAGAGTAATGCCTGCCTGAACAACCTAAAGCCCTATGAAAATGTTTTCTTCATGATTCCCCTGAGAATAATGTTATAAATAATCTATAGCATGGTTCTGATATTAATTTGAAGTCCCTTCTCATTAGACTCTTGCCCTTTGTTTGTGAGAGGAGTAGTTCTGTCTTTAAATCCTTTATCCAGCTTAAGTCCTTTTGGTCATTATCTATTTTGATGTGCAGAATGCTCTTCTCCTAAAACCTGGGGCAACTGGTTCTTTCTCATCACTTACGTCTCAGCTCAAATGTCAGCTCTTCATAGAGGACTCCTCAGATGACTGTTCTAAAGTATTTCCTTTTGCCAGTCATTCTCTCTCAAACAAAGCTAGATTCAAAATGGTCTTCACTATCTGCAATTATCTTACCTATATGTTTACTTGTATAATAATCTACTCTCCCCTGCACCAGAGTGAAAGCTCCACGCCAGCAGAAACCTGCCTTCTTTGTCTAGAGAAAAATCTCCAGGGCCTGGAAGTCTACCTGGCACTGTTACATAGTAGGCATATAATAAATAGCTGTTGAATAAGCCAATCAATCATTCAGTCCAAGATTATAATATCAACTATATATGTGCCTTCATGATGTTTTTTATGAGGAACAAAATTTTCTCTACATAGTAAAATAAACTATCAATCATGTAAGTGCTATAAGAGTTTAAAGTCTTCTATTTTTATTTAAAAATATATTTAGAGTACACCTAGGAACTTCCATTTCCAGGCAACGTGTAGTAAAAAATACCTGATTTATCCTCCTTCCTAAAACAACCAAAGAACAGACATATAAAACGATGGTTGGCAAGACACTGGATATTAGTCAATGAAAGACAGTGATCCAAAAAAGATGGGAAACAAAACGCCCCAGTTTCTTCGACCTGCTCAAGGGTATACGTGAGAAGTCTACAATATCACACTCAATGGCAAAAGACTACATTTTTCTCCATTCGATAAGAAAAGATACCTACTCTGACTGCTTAAATTCAGTGTTGTACTAGACATTGCTGCCAATGCAATAAGGAAAGCAAAAGACACAAATGTCATCCAGCCAAAAATAAACAGTAAAAATATCTTTGTTAATATGATATTGATGACAATGACATGATCTTCTACATAGAAAGTATGGTGAAATTCACAAAAAAAAGTGCTACAACTAAAAATGAGATTAATACAGTTGCAGGACACACATTAATGTACAAAAGCCAATTGTATTTCTATATACCATCAATAAACAACTGAATTCTGAGAAACATACAACCTACTAAAATAGTAAGAAATTAAAAATCTAATCATACCAATAATGAGCAAAGAGATTAAATCAGTAATTAAAAACTCCCAACACAGGAAATCCCAAGGCCAGATGACATCACCGGTGAATTTTACCAAACATTTATATAAGATTAATGCCAAGTCTTCTCAAAGTCTTCCAAAAATTAGATAGCACGAACACTTCCACACTTATTTTACAAAGGTAGGAAAAATCCTCCACAAAATACTAATAAACAAAATTCAACAGCACCTTAAGGGATCATACACCATGATCAAGTGGAATTTGTACCTAGGAGGTAAGAATGGTTCAACATACACGAATCTAGAAATGTGATGTCACATTAACAGACTGAAGTATAAAAACCTATGATCATCTCAATCGATGCAGGAAAATCACTGGACAAAGTTTAACATTATTTCATGATAAAAAAAAATTCTCTCTTGCTTCTGCTTTCACCGTGTGTACTGCCTGTTTCCACTTTCCTTCCTGCCATGAGTAAAAGCTCCCTGAGGTCTCCCCAGAAGCAAATGCTGCCATACTTCTTGTGCCAAAGTTACTGGAGGTGAACTGTTTGGAGACATAGTGGCAAGAAAATCCTACAGTGTAGCTGATGCCACTCGCTGTATACAGCAGATTCTAGAAAGTGTGAATGAGTGTCACCTCAATGGCATAGTTCACAGGGACCTGAAATCATTGCATTCAGCAGATCCTGGAGGCTGTGCTACACCGCCATCAGATGGGCATGGTCCATCAGGACCGGAAGCCTGAGAATTTGCTTTTAGCTAGCAAATCCAAGGGAGCAGCTATGAAACTGGTAGACTTTGGCTTAGCCACAGAAGTTCAAGGTGACCAGCAGGCGTGCTTTGGTTTTGCTGGCACATCTGGATATATTTCTCCAGAAGTTTTACATAAAGATCCTTATGGAAAACCAGTGGCTATGTGGGCATGTGGTGTCATTCCCTATATTCTACTGGTGGGGTGTCCACCCTTCTGGGATGAAAATACTACAGCTTCACTGTAGGATTTTCTTGCCACTATGTCTTCACGGTTCACCTCCAAGAACTTTGGCACAAGAAGTATGGCAGCATTTGCTTCTGGGGAGACCTCAGGGAGCTTTTACTCACGGGAGGAAGGAAAGTAGAAACAGACACTACACATGGTGAAAGCAGGAGCAAGCAAGAAGTTTTTTTATCAACACAGACTCTATCAGCAGATCAAGGCTGGAGCTTATGATTTTCCATCACCGGAATGGGATATGGTGACTCCTAAAGCCAAAGACCTCATCAATAAAATGCTTACTACCAACCCTGCCAAATGTATCACAGCCTCAGAGGCACTCAAACACCCATGGATCTGCCAGCATTCTGCTGTGGCTTCCACGATGCACAGACAGGAGACTATAGACTGCTTTAAGAAATTTAATGCTAGAAGAAAACTAAAGGGTCCCATCTTGACGACTATGGTGGCTACAAGGAATTTCTCAGTAGCCAAGAGTTTGTTGAAGAAACCAGATGGAGTAAAGGAGTCAACTGAGAGTTCAAATACAACAATTGAGGATGAAGATGTGAAAGCACGAAAGCAAGAGATTACCAAAGCCACTGGACAACTGGTCGAGGCTATCAACAACGGAGACTTTGAAGCCCACAGAAAAGTCTGTGACCCAGGCCTTACCGCTTTTGAACCTGAAGCCCTGGGTAAGTTAGTGGAAGGGATGGATTTTCACCAATTCTACTTTGAAAGTGCTTTGCCCCAAAGCACTAAACCAATCCACACTATTATTCTAAACCCTCATGTACATCTGGTAAGGGATGATGCTGCCTGCAAAACACTGTACACACAGTACATGGATGGCAGTGGAATGCCAAGGACAATGCAGGCAGAAGAGACTCGTGTGTGGCACCGCCGGGATGCAAAGTGGCAGAATGTTCATTTTCATCGCTTGTGGTCACCAGCAGTACCCACCAACTAAATATCAACAGTGTCACTTCTGCGTTCTCTGTTCTCAAGGCACCTGGATGGCGACCCTGGGCCGTCCTCTCCTCCTCTTCATGCATGTTTCTGAGTGCACGAAGTTGTGAAGGTCCTACATGTAATGCATATGTGATGCATCCTCTTATCATATATTCCTTCCTATACATTGTTTACACTTCAACTATGGGGAAGTTCCATGCAAATTTAAATTACTGTTGGCAAAACAATAGGAGGAGATGAGACAAGAAAAATTTTTTTCACAATATTCCAAGCACAATTCTTCATCAAGTTTTTCTGTTCATGCCAAGATTTAACAGATTTAAGAACTATTGTCCTCTGAATGACAGTTTGTAAGAGAAATGTAAATTTTTTAGAACTCTTTGCTGTTAATCTGTTTTGGCTTATTTGTTTTTGCTTTTGATTTTTTAAAGAAAAAGTTAAAAAAAAATATACCTTCAGTTTTCTGATGTGATCCTGGTTAAAATGAATGAGTTTTCATTGAAAGTTTTGCTGCTTAACAATTAAAGTGGGTTGATATGTGGGCAAAATCACTTATGAAAATAGAAGCAAGAATCAGTTGGTTTGCTACCACATAGAGCCACGCTATTTTTGGTCAAACCGTGTACACTGGAAAAATGAGCATCATTTCTGAGTTTAATCACTTTAGGATACATTCACTTTTTTTTGGTGAATTTGCTGAACTGAATTTTTTTTTCTTAAATCTGTGATCTCTTTTCTTTATCTTGTGTCTTTGTTCCTTTTATTTGCTGCCTTTTTAATTTTTCTTTTGCTCCATTCTTTTCTTACTTTTTTTTCTTTTTCCTTTTTTGGGGAGGCTGGGCTAGTAGTGTGTGAGAAGAGAATGAAAGGGAAATTTGCATAATGAAGGTAAAAGGGAAATAAAGGTCTTTTGAAGGTAGCTAAACTAGCCCTTTTGATTATTTTCAGGGCCCACAAAAATGTCAGAATTTTAAAGGTTTATAATTCTGCTTAATCTCTTGTTTGGACATAGGTATCCTAAATATGTTGGAGGCATTAGAATTGTTTAAACATAGGAAAAAAGAAAGTTCCTCCTGTGACTGTAATGTCTTACTGATAGGGACAGTTGCCAGGAGGATGCCAAGTTGATAGCAGAGGGGGTTTTGCAAACACACTCACCTCCACCTTGAAGAATGAGAGAGTCACTTCTGCATCATCACTAGCTAGTTTTCTAGAGTTAGAGAGGCTTACAAATGTTTGCCATTCTCATAAGTGTTTTGAACTTGATCTTTGTGATGTGTGCTTTTTTCGCTTCTCTCTTGAGTCAGAGTATCATTATATTCCTTCAAGGAGTTAGGATTTTCCAGTTTAAAACAAAAAGGGAAATGTCCCAGGTTTTCTTTGTGCTTCTCATTTTTCCTTTGTTGATTCAGTTCCTGTGCTATTTTTTTCTTCCTGGCAATGCTTTTCAGTACATGGAATCTCCATCATCGTTATTTTAATGATAGTAATTCACAGTCCTTAGAAGCTTATTTTTAAAGCAGAAGCAAAAAAGGAAAACAAAACAACAAAAACGAACCTTCTTTTTTCTCATCTCAACTTTCTGTGTTAATTACTAATCATCTAAGATATTATTGCTAGTGGATGTATGGGTACATGGGTTGAAGCTTTTCTGATAGTTATTACACAATTTTAAACAATATATATTTAAAGTAAACATATACAGTAAATATATTGAGCCATGTTACCCTGCCAATGAGATCTGTGAAAAAATAATGGCCTAATTTTTCCCTTTTTAATTACTTTAACCTTTTTGTGAAGCAGCTATATGTGGCATACATGTATTTAAAGAAAAAAATAGGTGTAAAGTGGTTTTTTTTAACACTTTTAACTTAGCATGTGGCTTGAAGTATTACTGCAGATCAAGTTTGTCTTCTGCAGTAAGATGTGAGAAAAATGTGATTTGTTCTCTCTGCCACAACTGAATTACACATTTATTATCTTCTATCATTTTGAAACACTGCAGTTCACCATGGGACACTGTATATATTTCTTGCCATAATATTAAATGACTGATTAATATACAAAAAATTATGAACAGATTAATTATAAAAGGACATACCTTCAACACAATAAAGACCATATGCAATAAGGCCACAGCTGACATCATACTCATTGGAGAAAAAGCTGAGAGTTTTTCTTCTCATATCAGGAATAAAGATGCCTACTCTCCCAATGTCTATTCAATATATTGTTGGAAGTCTTAGCCAGAGCAATTAGTTAAGAAAAAGAAATAAAAGCACGTCCAAATTGGAAAGGAAGAAGTGAAATTGCTATTATTTGCAGATTACATGGTTATAAAGACTCCACCAAAAAACGTTGGAATAAACAAATTTGGTAAAGTTCCAGAATATAAATTTAGTCTACAAACATGATCATTTCTATATACTAACAATGAATTATCTGAAAAACAAATCAAGAAATTACCATTTATGATAGAATCAAAAATAGAATATTTAGAGATTAAACAAGGAGGTGAAAGATCTATATGCTAAAAACTATAAAACACTAATGAAAGAAACTGAACAAGACACAAATTAAGTGGAAGAATATCCTATGTTCATGGATTTGAAGAATTAATATTGCTGAAGTACCCTAAAGCAATCCACAGTTTCAATGCAATCCCTCATTTCAAAATATACTGAAAAGCTACACTAATCAAAACAGTATAGATACTGCTATAAAAACAGACATGGAGACCAATGCAACAAAATAACCCAAAAATAAATCCACATATTTATAGTTCATTGATCTTTGACAAAGTTTCCAAGAACATACTATGAGGAAAGGAGAGTCTCTTTAATAAATCTTGTTGGGAAAATATATCAACATGCAGAAGAATGAAATTTGACACTTATTTCGTGCCATATACAAAATCCAATTCAAAATGAATTAAAAACATATAATACTTAAGCTGTAAAACTTTTAGAAGAAAACATAGGTGAAAGGCTTCTTGATATTGGTTTGGGCAATTTTGTTGTTGTTATTACTATTGAGACAGAGTCTCACTCCATCATCAGGCACCAGGCTGGAGTGCAGTGGCGTGACCTCGCCTCACTGTAACCTCCACCTCCCAGGTTCAAGCAATTCTCCTGTCTCAGCCTCCCGAGTAGCTGGGACTACAGGTGCAGGCCACCATGCCCAGCTAATTTTTTTGTATTTTTAGTAGAGATGGAGTTTCACCATGTTGGCCAGGATGGTCTCCATCTCTTGACATCATGATCCATCTGCCTCGGCCTCCCAAAGTGCTGGGATTACAGGCATGAGCCACTGAGCAATTTTTTTTTAACCCCAAAAGCATAGGCAATATAAGTAAAAATAGACAAATAGGATTATATCAACTACACAGCTTCTGCAAAGCAAAGGCAACAATCAACTAAATGAACAGAAAACCAACAGCATGGGAGAAAATATTTGTAAACCACATATCTGATAAGGGGCTAATATTCAAAATTCATAAGGAAGTCAAACAACTCAATAGTAAGTAATCAACTCAATTTTAAAAAGATGTAAAGGACCTGAATAGACATTTACCAAAAAATGAGATGCAAATGTTCAACAGGTAGATTAAAATATGCTCATTATGGCTTATCATCAGGGAAATCGCTATTATCAAAAAGAAAAAAAGTAGCTGTTCTCAAAAAGAATAGAATAACTATTATCAAAACAACAGCTATTATCAAAAAGACAAAAACATAAGTGATGGTAAGGATGTGGAGAAAATGAAATCCCTGTATGCTATTGGTGAAAATGTTCATTAGTGCAGCCATTATGAAATACAGTATGGAGATTCTTCATACATTACATGTTACCAATTCAAATGAAAATAGAATTACCCCATGATCTAGCAATCCCACATTCCACTCTGGATATATATCTGAAAGAAATGAATCAGTTTCTCAAAGAGATGTCTATATTCCCATGTTTATAGCAGCATTATTCACAACAGTCCTGATATAGAATTAACATAAATGTCTGTCAACTGATGAATGAAGAAAATATAGTATATATGTACAACGGAATATAATACAAACTAAAAAAAGAAAAAGAAACTCCTGTAATTTGCAACAACATGGGTGAACCTGGAGGATATAATGCATAGTGAAATAAGCCAGGCGCAAAAGACAAACGCTGCATGATCTCACCTATATATGGAATCTTAAGAAGTCTGGCCGGACACGGTGGCTCACGCCTGTAATCCCAACACTTTGGGAGGCCGAGGCGGGTGGATCACGAGGTCAAGAGATTGAGACCATCCTGGTCAACATGGTGAAACCCCGTCTCTACTAAAAATACAAAAAAATTAGCTGGGCATGGTGGCGCGTGCCTGTAGTCCCAGCTACTCGGGAGGCTGAGGCAGGAGAATTGCCTGAACCCAGGAGGCGGAGGTTGCGGTGAGCCAAGGTCGCGCCATTGCACTCCAGCCTGGGTGACAAGAGTGAAACTCCATCTCAAAAAAAAAAAAAAAAGAAGTCAAATTCATAGAAGTGGAGTATAGTAGAATGATGGTTGCCTGGGGCTGGGGGCCAAAGGGAGGAGGATGAGGAGATGTTGGTTAAAGTGTACACATTATCAGTTCAACAGCAGGAAAAAGTGCTAAAGATCTATTGTACAACATGGCTACAATAGTGAATAATAACATACTGTATACTTAAAATTGCTAAGAAAGTCAATTTTCAATTGTCTCACCACCAAAAATAAGGAAGTGAGGTGATGGACATGTGAATTAGCTGATCTAATCAGTTCACAATGCATACATATATCCAAACATTCCTATAAATATATGAAATTTTGTTTGTCAATTAGACCTTAATAAAGCTGGGAAGAAATAACCCTGAAAATTGAAATTTTAAAAATATAATTAAAAATATACAATGTGTAGGAATACATCTGACAAAGATTAAAAGATGTGTACCCTGACATGTGTAAAACATCACTGGACAAATTAAAGACCTAAATAAATGGAAAGATACACTCTATTGTGTTCATGGGTCAGAAGCCTCAGTACGATTAAGATGTCAGTTTTCTCAAATCAAAATTCCAGTGTGGTTTCTTTAATAGAGACTGAACAATCTTATTCTAATGCAAAGGAGCTAAATTTGCCAATAGAACTTTCTAAAAGAATAAGGCTGGAAAGCTAGCACTCCCAGATTTTAAGACTTACAATAAAACTCCAAT